AGGCACATGGGTATGAGTGGGCAAGAGTGGCGAGAAGAAGATTAAAGAAAAGGACAACAGTCCTTGAAAACAAAGGAGCTCCTACAAAATACTATGCTGCTTGGAGCTTCCTGGCCCAAGACTCCTCTATACAATAGATGAGGGGTGGATAGGATCATTTGAGCTATTCATCAAATTACCAAACCACTCCCCAAGCTAAATTTATTTTAGACAGATTTTCAAAAGAAAGATCATGATGTGGGGGATGGTAGTGAGATTAGTGAGAACCACAATCACTTCCTTTTCCTGCTTTGAATCATCTCAGTCCTGCAGCTACTGTTCTTCTCTCCAACTTCCCCCTCTTTCCCAAGGACCTTAGTGATTCCCATCTGACCTTAAAGATTGGCTTGACCTACACTAGCCAGAGAGAATCCTAGAGGACTTACTACTGGAAGGTCCAGCAGTTCCCAACCTTTTTGGCATCAAGAACTAGTGCTTCTATGAGAATCTAATACCTAATGATCTGAGGTAGAGCTGAGGAGGTGATGCTGGGGAGCGGCTGCAAATACAGATGAAGCTTCGCTCACTCACCCGCTACTCACCTCCTGCTGTGTGGCTCAGTTCCTAACTCTAGAGGTCTTTTTGATCCTGATGAGAAAAGAGAGAATCAGAGAGGAAAAGACACTTGTCCAGGGTAACCTGGCTAGTCACTAGCAGAGACGGGGCTTCTACACCTCGGTAGTCTAGGTAAATGAGAGGGGAGTGAGTTTTGTGTAAATGTTTCCACCATTTATTCTATCATATATAGATCCAGTTAGGCTAATAAAGAAAAATCCAGGGTCACCGATTCCAGTGTTCACCAGTCAGAGTGACTGGATTGTGCAACACAAGTCTATGTAATCACCACTTAGGAAGAAGGAAGATTGTCAACGGTTTACATGTTATGTTAGGATTTTAGGAAAAAATTTTATTAAACTAATATATATTAACAGAAAAGAGAAATAACATTATTGAGCTGCTAAGAGGTGCTAAGTGCTACATTAGACATCTGTTAGCCCACTGGATTCTGCAGTATAGCTATTATTATCCCCATCTGTTAAATAAAGAAGCTGAGATTCAGAGAGGTTATACGTCTAAATTCACATTGCTTGTAGTGGCAGAGCTGTGAATTGAATCTAAATCTATCTGATATTCAAACTCAAGCTCTTTCCATAAGATTATGGCAGGGATTTAGGTGTCCTCCATAAAATGTTCTACTCCTACTATGTAGGAGACAGGTATTGGGAGGGAAAAGGTACAGAGAGAGTTTATATCTTTGTCTTAACAGTTGTCAGGATACTAGGGCTGAGTGACCTTTACTCATAAAAGAAAAAAGATCTTAATTTTTTTTTTGGATTTTTGAGCCTACAGAGGGCATCAAAAAGCTTCCTAGTCTATGGCCATGCCACCCTAAACATGCTCAATCTCATTTGATCTTGAAAGCTAAGCAGGTCGGGCCTGGTTAGTACTTGGATGGGAGACCACCTAGGAATACCAGATGCTGTAGGCGTTAAAAAAAAAGAAAGAAAGGAAGAAAGGAAGAAAGAAAGAAGAAGAAGAAGAGGAAGAAGAAGAAGAAAAGAGGAGGAGGATGAGGAGAAAAAGAAGCAGCAGCTTTCTACATGACTCTGCTCCATTTTTTGTCTCTACAACTATTTCCAGAATTTCTTAGTTTAAGAATAATATTCACTACAGTTACTTAAGATAAACCATTATGTCTGGTTAAACAATAATGCAGAGTATGGAATATTATCAAATTGTATAAACATGTGCCAAGTTTTCACAGGGTGGTGTTTGTGCAATGCGGTCATCTACTGACACTTTTTAAATCTAGGGGGGAAAGGTAAAAACACTGTTAGAGTGTGGAAACGGGACTTAAAATGGAGATTAAAGCTGTATTATTTTTGCCAATTTGTATGCAGTCGTCAATTTTTACTTTTTTGCTCTTGTGAAACTGTTTATTGTGTTTACCTTGCTACTAATATTTGACATTCTGTATTCTCCAAAGCAGACAGCTCTGGTTAGATGATCCTGAATAACCCATGGAAGAGAAGAGGGAATCTCTCAATTTGAACATACAGTATATCTCATAAAAACCCTTGGATATGTCTGTAAGTACCTTCTCTCTTATGATATCAGAGTTTTTTGTTGTTTTTTTTTTTTTTCTGGTAAAAGATTAGGTTGTAATTTTTAAGCACATTACTAAAACAGTTGTAATCAATAGGTTTTCCAAGTGTCACATTTCTTCATATTACCATTCATAGCTTCCAACTTCTGTTAAATAGCTAAATACAAATTTTTATTCTAAAAGTCATTCAGACAAGGTATAGGACCTGCTATTGCCCTCTTTTTAGGTATTTATTCTGAGTTTTTTACCTTGACATTTTACCGAGTCCTCCTTGGCCCATCTGAAGTCACTCTACATTCCACACATACATTTATGTTTATATGAATAGATAGAAAGAAAGAAAGATAGATAGATAGACAGACAGACAGACGATAAAGTGATACAACCTCAGCATTTAAGTCACTTCTCTGAATCCCTTATAATAGAACTACTTGGAGAAACAGCACAATTGTTAGCAGTAAAAGAGATATTAGGGTTGGGGGGATAAGAGGAGAGAGATGAAACAAAGATACACAATGATACACTTAGGAAACAGACAAATTCAGGGAAAAAAAACACAAAGACACATAGATAGACATGCACTACCCTCTCTTTCCTTCCTCCTTCACTTTCCCCCAAGTCCCTGAATTTTCCTTGGCCTTTTCCCACATCCCTCTCCAATTCCTCACTTCTTTTGGCACCTACTTGATATGTTCTGTGCGTCCAGAGCCCTCGATGGTCTTGGCTCCCCACCGTTGCTCCTTCTCAGAGATATCATTCTGCAAAAGACAGCACTCAGCAATAAGTGATGGAAAGAGATGTGCCATGATGAGAGAGAGGCCATGCAGCTGACACACATGCCTTCCATATCCCCTGCATCTGCTGCCTCCTTTAGATGCCTCCTTCAGATGCCTCTCTATGTTTACCCCATCATGAACCCCATGTTAAATTAAACTGGTGAGCTCTGAAACCTCCTTTCATACTGCATCCCTCACATAATCCTCCTCAGGTCTCCTACAATTTCTGAATCCCTCCAAATTATACACGTCCAGCCCAAATCTTGGCTCATAGGCCAAAAGAGACACAGCATAGCCTGCCATAGCCCATCAATCACAATGTCAAACTGCTCTGCACCTGTCTCCTCAACACCAGCCATCATGTATACCCACTCCTAACAACTGTCAGTTTCACAATGAGGGCTATCTCAGACCCAGACTGTCCTTTCCTAAGCCCCCTCAAAGGTTACAGAGTGGTCCAGATGTCATCCCCACCCCTTTCACTGTCCAAGAAAAGCTATTTCCAAACTCACCACAAAGTCAGGATCTGTGTCCCAGTCATCACCCTGGGTCTCCAAGGAAACAGATACATCATGCCCTACTACAGACTTCCACATCTGAAGGTAAAAAGAAGATGAAAATAATTAGAGGCAAAACATCAAGAGGAGGGAAAACAAGAATGCTGAAGCTTTGATATAGCAGCTCATTGTTTCTTGCCATTTTTTTCTTAGAAGCTGAGGCAAAGCAGATGAGAGTTTTAGGAATGTATCTTTGCTTAGATAGAGGAGTGGGGTGGGGATTTATTTGAGACAAACTAACAGGGCCTGGGCACACCTGAGTCTGGAGAGAAGTCATTATGGGTGTAGATAACACTAAATAACCTGGATGTCAAAACTGCTGGGATCAGTCATTTTTGTCAAGAGGCCAGCCAAGGCACTGTGGTAAAAATGAGGGGTGTTAGAACATGCCTAGAATTATAGCACCAATTCGCTCAGGTTTCTACATATGACTCCTTTGCAGTTGTCAAAATATATATTGGTCTAGCTCCTGGTAAAGGAAACATCTACAATCCTATCTGCAACCTGCTTAGTGCAAGTGCCGTTCTTCCACTTGGCCACTGAACAGCTACATGAGATCAGCAGGGCAGTCAGCTGAAATTCCTATACTGCACAATGCATGGGAAACATTATTTGCTGAGGATAAGTCACTTATTCTTCAATTTTTAAAAACAATTTAATTATATTTCTAAAGAGAATAGCTGACTCAAAAATAGCATAATCTCTCATTTTGAACAGTAGGGGTTATTAGATTTTCATTAACTAAATAAATGATAAAGTACTATTTAGAGAATACCAGTTTGAAGGAATATCAAATTGGTATTCTACTAGGGCATCCCCAGTGTTTCTACTGGCTCTGCCAATCATGCATGAGGAGCAGCTACACCATTGCTCTGCATCTGTGGAATCCGGAGTCTTGGTGTGAAGAGGAAACCATGAACAATGCTTATCTGCTCTGGTGGCCACTGAGACTTCTTGACTCTGATACCACTTGCTAGCTGGCACTGCCTCTGCCCATTCTTCCCTATTCAGACTTTTCATCCCACTGGTGTCTTTCTCCATGCTCTTCACTGTCTCTGAAGAATCCCTCTTATGACCACTCCTAGGACACTGTAGTGTCTCTACCCAGGGCCTCAGACTCTGATTTTCCTCTCCACTTGAAAACTCCTCCATGCTCTTCAAAAAATCCCTTGGAAGCCAGCCCAAGGGAAAGTTTGGGGGTAGATTGGTTAGAGAAGTGCAAAGAGGACACTGGAGAAGAATTGACTATGTCAGCTACACTGTGGGATGAGTCACTACCGAGACCAGCTCTGCCTTCCCCTGTGGAGAAACAATTATGGATGAGGGTATGGGGTAGGTAGACAAGAGCTATGGTCTTGTTTCCTGGGCCGCTCTGCAACAAAAGGACTTCACACAGAAACTGGAAAGGAGAAGTTTCTGAAATAGTCATAAACAGTGAGGACCGATTGTCCTGTCCTCTTTCCTGCTCTTCTTCCGAGATATCAGCTTGACTCTCCTGTAAACCTCCCATCCTCATGTAGTTTTTAAACAAAGGCAAGTTTCTGACACAGAGACAACTTAGTATCTTTGAGTTCCTGGCCAGAAATAGGGAAGCCGAGAGGTAATATCTATAGGTGGGAGACCAGAGAGTAACTTGGTGGAGCTGGTGCCCAGGATATCAGGCACTATCAAAGACCTCGTCATAAGGTTGCCTTATAGCATCAGTAAAGTACAAGAATTGAGATTCAGAAGATCACCTCAGCTCTGTTACTAAGACCCTATGGGAACATGGGTAAGGGAATCAACAATAGAGAATGTACTTATTTTTCAGGTACCAGGCTAGGCGATTTACAAATATTAGCTTAAATAATTTAGTAAATCATTGAATGTCTCAGATACTGTTTTCCCCAGTGGAAAAATAAATGAAAAGGTCAACATAACTAATATATAAAGTCCCTTCCATTTCTGACATTCTGGGATTCTATGGTCCTACAATCATAGAAGTTAGTCCTAGTCAAAATATCATGCCATTTGGCTTCCATCAGCACTTGGCTCTCAGCGCTGGCACACATTAACTACTTCCTGCTCTGTTATAATGTCTTCTGTGTGGGTTGTGTCCCCCTGCTAGACCATTGGCTCTCCAAGGGCAGAGACTTTGTCTTCATTTCCTATGGTCCTCCTCCCAACTCAGTGCCTCAGAACAACAGGCTATAAAGAGGTTTGTAGCCGAAACAGAGAGTCTTGGATGGCTGCTGGATCATATTCCCTGGGCTTCAGCCCCCCACTTCTGTCTCCATCCCCAGATGCTCATTATCTACAACTGCTCCCACTCGGGCCTTCTGGCCATAAAAGTTTAAAAGCCTACTAGCAGTGACTTCATCTCTCACCAAGAACTAAGAGCCAGGTAGGTTCCTCTTCACCTCTTTCCATGTGCTCCTCCACTTTCCCACTACTCAAGAGTACCCACCTCTAACAGTGCGAGTGACTGCTCTAAGCTCCCAGCTCCTCACGTCGTTCACTCGGCTCTCTCTGCTGCTGCTAGTTCTGAGCAAGAAAATGAGCTGCTTCTTCAGTTCCGTATTCAGGTTTTCTGTCATTTCCTGTCATCATGTCCTCACAGCTACTTCCTGAAGTTTGTCAGTTCCTTCTGCTTAGGCACTTCAATAAAAAAAAATTAATTGCCTCTATGCCTAGTCTTTTGCAAGGCTTTGAGTGTCATGGGGGAAGTAAAAAAAAAAAAAGCTTTTACTCTGAGTTTATAATCTGGTCAGGGAAGCAAAACACCCAGAAAACAACAGAATTCTATAGAACAGCATTTGTGTCCTAATTAGGTGGGCAGTTGCATCTGTTATAGCACAGGAATGGAGTTTGGTATAGGCTGAAGAAAAGCTTAATGGGTAAAATGGTTTTTACGTGGATCTACATTACCCACAGCATTTTAAACTGGGGTTTGTATTTAATAAGTGTTCAAATAAACATTTATTAATTGAATGGTGGAAGGGAATAAATCACGGGAAAGGCAAGACATGGTAGGAAAAAGGTTCAGAGATTGTTTAGGGAACAGTGAGGAGTCTGAGCTAACTGGTAGATTTGATTCCAAATAGCGGGAAGAAGTCTGAAAGAACTAGCTACCAGACAATGGGAAGTCTTGGTAGTATTCTGTCTTACTTACTGTTCATCAAGATTTGCTGTCCCTCCTTTCTCCTTCCTACGTTAAGTCAGAATTGCTCAGGTGACTTGTTTTGGCCAATGAAATTTGAGTAATGAAATACATCACTTTTTGGTGGAAACTTCAAGACCAGAGCAAACTTTGCCATCCTTTTGTGCAGTGCCCACCATTTGCAATTCTCCGGAGTGGGTTCATTCTCAGTTGGGGAGAGGGTCTCTAACTTAGAACGACAACACTCAATCTACTGTGTGAGGGACTTGGAATCTGACTAGCAAATAATCCTTTGTTGTTTTAGCTACTGAGAATTAGGGGGTGTTTGTCACTGTATCTATCTATCCTCTCCTAATCATGATTGATGTGGTCTTCTGACCTGATTTGCTCATCTGTGAGCTCCCCAGTGGATTCAATCTGAGACAGATAAAATTGGTCCAAGATATAGACCAAGATATTTCTGCATTAGGAATAAGTCAAGACTTTAGTCACTTACAAATCTAAGGAGTCTATGCCTGGGGGGAGTTTTATTTACTGACCTCTCCTACTTTATGACCTATTTATTGTCACAGCACTAAAATTGTGACACAGTCATCCAGATAGTTCTTTAGAGAAACCTTAGAATTTAGAGATGAAAACAAGAAATCTCATCTCTCCCTAGCAAAAGTCCCAAGTTCATTCCTGATGTGAGGCAGTGAGTTGAAGCACACAGAAATAGCATGGGCTCTGAAGCCAGACAGGCTTATATCAATTCATTTATTTACATTGAGAAAGTGTCTCAAGCAGAGACTTAAAAAAACATAATGCCCATCTTGCTACAACTTAGACTTACCTTACCTACTCCCATCCAGAGGGATCCCAAGGGGCCTAATGCTTTCAATATGCACCAGATGAGTTTTCCCAGGTCCAGGAATAAACCTGCATGAATCTCATGCCCTAAGGCCCAGTTCATTTGGTTTAGTATTAGGATGAAATTTCCTTACTCCACTTCATCACCCTGGGGTCTAGTGGCTAAGTTAGAAAGACGAATGTAGCCATTACTGATGTTGACCAGGGAGAAGGAAACCTGAATATGTAGTTTTCTACCCCTGTGTCCATCCCTGGCTAACTCATCCCTGCATCCCCTATCTACCTTCCCCTCCTCAGCATGCAAACATATGTATGTGAGCACCCATGTATAAACACACATGCACACGCCACAATTTTTCATTCTGAAAATAATTTTATTATTTTACAGTTATTAAGGAAAGTTCCTGGGTTGCTGTGACTAAGATTTGGTTACCACAGAACTAAGGATTAGAGCAGAACAGTCAGTTCACCAGTTTTCTCTCTTCTTTGGGTGGTGAGAGCAGGCAGTGAAGACATCATGTGCATAATGAGAAAACAACCAACTGGTAAGGGCTGACGGGGAGGAGAGGCGGGGAATAGGCACAAACGGAATACAATCTGCCCATCATTCTCAGACCTAAATTTAAACATTTTATCTTTTTTTGTATTGTTCCTCCATTTTCCTCAGCTCTCTGTTACCACAGACAGCAGATGAGTATGAGGCAAGAAAGTGGAATAATTGTCACCGACAGCAAAGTAGCTTAGTACATCGAGAGGCTAGGAGGGTCTTCAGACCAGTCAGATCTCCCTGGCTGGGAGTCAATGCCTCACCTAGGCCTGGCTCCTAGGGCCCACATTCAAGATATATCCAGATAACATGGAATGACAAGAATCTGAATCTCACTGTCTTTAGCTGGTTCTTCCTGTGTTTCAGTCAAAGAAAAGGCATGCGCCACTCAGTACCTTAGGATACATGTGATCAAGGGCAATAAGCAATAGGATCCAATCCTTACAGTCCAGGACCACAAATCTTGCTCCAATGATGTTTGAACAGCCAGGAAAGGAAATGCTGTCCTCCCATGATACAATAGCTAAAATCCCTGGGGAGTTCTTCAGCTTCCACCCTATTCTGCAGGAGACCTAACCAGATATCCTGCAAGATAATGTTCCCCAGAACTTTGTTTATGGTGGGTCCACCATGCACCTGAAGGAGAAAATATAAGGTAAACAAAGCAAATAAAGTATCAATCAAAATGATACTGGACTTCGGATTATTAGGTTTATTAGAACCACCCTCCTGCCTGAAAAACATTCCTCAGTATCTTTCACAGGACCACGAGACCAGGGCCCTATAAAATCTGAACAAATCCTGAGTTCAGCAACCAATTGAGGGGCCTCCTCAGATTACGCAAAAGTGCTCAGGTGCTGGGCAGTAGAAAAAAGCAGACTTGCTGGTCCTTGCAGCTCTAACCTGTGCTCACATCCACTTCAGTTTTGCAGGCACTTTCCACGGAGAGTTAGAGGACCTGTCGGCGGGAAGACTGTTCCACTGGAATTGATGGTTGATGTTAGAGGTGGGGGAACTCCAAGTTCCAAGAGGAGTGGTCCAAAAGGTGAGAACTAAGTTTATAGATGGCCCGTGAAACAAAGAATGAGTAGGACATGAACCATCAGAAAATAGATGGCTGCTAGCAGCGGCACGCGGGTCCGGGAATGACAGAGAGAACGCAGTACCCGCTTCCATCCAGCACCACTCCGTGACTGAAAGAAAAATGTGAAAGTCAGAGAGTTTTATGCTATAGGGATATGTCCCTTTTCCTTTCCCAACTACTGCAGAAAAGAGGCTTCCTGAGAGAAAGTTCTCTGAGAGTCAAAACTTGGCAAATTCTACCAGTTTCCTCCAACCTTCCACAGCCTTCCAGTCTTAGCCCCATCAGCTGCTCAGTACTTGGATTTCCCTCCTTGATCCCTTGCCTCAACACAGCCAGCCCTGTCAGATAGTACAGCATAGTAACCTCTCTTTACCTTTCTTCCCTTCTTACCCTTCGACAACTGTTGCCTGTAAGGTCTATTAACAGTGCCTGCTCCTGAGTGCCACAGGAGCCAATGATAGGAGTCCGGGCAGAGTCCCATTCACTGTGCTCCAACCTGTGTTGAGGGAAAAAAAGAGGCATGGCATTGGTTCATAGCTTGTGAGGTGAATTAGGTGAAGTTTTCCCAGTCTTCCTGCCATGTGATATAGCATAAAGGACTTGCAACAAAGGCTGCTCTCACATCCCTGTCCACGTATAAGAAGTGTATAGGCAGACGGGTTTCTTTCAGGAGCAGTAAAAGGTGATAATAACCACCAGGAACTGACTGCCTACTATCTATCAGTAGTAGGTATGTAAAACGGAGTGTTTTACATCCATTTAATGTTTAGGTTTTGAGGTCGGTGTTATCCTTAAAGTAAGGATTGAAAAGGTAAAATTACTAGCTCATAGTGGTACAGTCAATAAGAGGTAGAGCTGGAATTCAAAAACCATGCTTGTCTCAAAACATCATGCTTTTTTCCACGACACTATATTTGACTCAGAGAAACTACCCACCCACCCCCCATTTTTTAAAGGCTAATAAGCAAACGTAACTAAGAATTAAACAGAACTGGCAGCCTCTACTGCTTTCTGGTGGGTGTGTGTGTGTGTGTGTGTGTGTTATGCTTATTTATTTAATACTGGAACATCTCCATTTAATGAAGAAGCTGCTTTTAACTACTCAATGGTTTCTCAATAAAATAAGAACTGTATCAAAGGGGCTATAGGTAACATAGTACATTTGATCAAGCATTTGCCTATAGGGACGAACTTTTTTTTATAAAGCAAAAACATACTTTGAATGGTTTCACAGCTAAATTACTTTTAAAAAATAATTTAAAAATTTTAACTACAGTTGGCATATAATATCATATTAATATTTCTGCTGTAAAACATAATGATTAGACATTTATATAAATTACAAAGTGATTACCCTGATAAATCTAGTACCCATCAGATACCGCAGTTATTGCAATATTATTAATTATATTCTTTATGCTATAGTTTACATCCCCATAACCATTTTGTAACCACCAGTTTGTACTTCTTAATCCCTTCCTCTTTTCGATTTACCCCTTTTGGCAAACCTCAAAATATTCCCTGTATCTATGAGTTTTTTTTTTGTTTTTTGTTTATTTTGTTCTTTAGATTCCACATGTAAGTAAAATCATATGGCATTTGTCTTTCTCTGTCGTACTCCACTCAGCACAATACCCTCTCGGTCCATTCATGAGGCTGCAGATGGCAAGGTTTCATTCCTTTTTTATGGCTAGGTAATATTCTATTGTATATGTGTACCACTTCTCCTTTATCAGCATTATAAGTGCATTTGCTAGCAAATCAAAAGCCAGATTCTTTTTATATCAGCTTTATAAAGTTGTCTCTTAATCTCCCATACGTTTTAATATTTAAACATTTTTTTTCAATTGATTCGAATCTCAGGTAGAGAATGAGGTTGACATTTATATGGCCCTCTAAAGAATCCTACACCTACCTTATATAGTTATTGTTGGGATATAAAACATAGCTTTATTTTATT